GGCAGAGAGACACAGGCAGAGGGAGAAGCAGGCCCCTGCACCGGGAGCCTGATGTGGGATTCGATCCCGGGTCTCCAGGATCGCACCCTGGGCCAAAGGCAGGCGCCAAACCGCTGCGCCACCCAGGGATCCCTCAGGAAATTTTTCTTTCCATCCTTGCCAGTTAGTATCTGGGTCTTCTCCATATTCCAGAGAAAGATGAGGTAATCTTTGTGATAGGACACTTTGCTTTTCCCCTAGCAAAGAGCTTCCTCTGGAATAATCCTTTTCTTTGCTAATAACTCTCTTGCCCCCACCCTCCATCTACATAAACTTTCCATTTTGTACAAGTCCTTGGAGTGCCTCTCGGCTTGCTGGGGATGGGGTGCTGCCCAATTTATGGATCATTTCATATAGCCAATGAAATCTTCACATTTACTTGATTTAATTTTGTTATTTAACAAGAGCAATAACTCACTGTACCCCCAGGATGATGCTGAGCACTAATTTGCCACCATGTTGCATGGCAAGAAGGATAGGATTATTCCTATATCTCAGATAGGAAAAGGGAGGCCTGGAAGCGGGCCAGGTCACTGTTCCTCATTTCTTCACCTTCATCCCCCACTTTTTTACTGGGAGGTCGGATTTCCTCAGCCCAGTCTTCAGAAAGGGAGGAGAGAGAAGGGGGACAGTCTGGGCTCTGGAATAGTGGTGGGGGGAAGCACTACTTCTGCCTTCTTGCAGGGGAAACTTTCCTGGATGCAGTCTTGTTCCCTTTAAATTCTATTGGGCTGGAATGTGTGGGTGGCTCAGTGTTTGAGCATCTGCCTTTGGCTCAGGTCATGGTCCCTGTGTCCTGGGATTGAGTCCCACATCGGGCTCCCCTCAGGGAGCCTGCTTCTCCCTCTGCCTGTGTCTCTGCCTCTCTCTCTGTCTCTCATGAATGAATAAATAAAATATTTTTTAAAAATTCTATAGAGCTGAGCTGGGGGTGTTGATGCTGACTGTGGGAGCAGGCTGGGGTGCTAGTAGGCTGTTCCCTTGGCTTCATTTGCATCCAAAATTGGGGTCTGTGGCAGCGTGTGGATCCAAACCCAACCACACATGCTTTCAGTTGTTTGTGCCTGTGTGTGTGGGGTGTGTCATAGTGAGGTAGACTGTCCAATTGTGATCTGAGAGTTGGGGCTCCCCTGAAAATTTTTTTAAGCTTACGAATTAGTGGGGCACCTGAGTGGCTCAGTTGGTTAAGTGTCTGCCTTCAGCTCAGGTCACAATCCCTGTTCCCGGGATCCAGCGCCTCACAGGGCTCCCTGCTCAGCGGGGAGTCGGCTTCTCCTTCTCCCTTGGCTGCTCCCCCTGCTCATGCTCTCTCTCGGACAAATAAATAAATAAATAAAATCTTCAAAAGAAAAACAACTTATGAATTAGTTTGATATTTGAGATGAAGCTGGAAGCCATGCACCTCTTTTTCTGCACTGTAAAATTTCTGGTAAAAGTTAAAAGTAAAACTTCTCTTGATTCTTGTCCAAGAAAGCACAAATAACGTTAAAAAATGTCTCAATTTTCTGATCATACAAAGGATGCAGAAATGACTGCAACCTTTCTGTTGAAAGAACCTGGCAACAGCTTAAAAACTGATAGGATCGAGTTTAAATTGACCACTGCATTCAAGACCAAAAAAACTTCATTCAGAATATGAGTTAGGGAAGTTTGTCTAAAATATCAAAAGGTTTTGGACACTTGACTAAATAGGATCACAGATTATTGTGAACCGATATTTATTTATTTCAACAAAGTAACAATAAAAGATTTTATTTTATTTTTTTAAAGATTTTATTTATTTATTCATGATAGACATAGAGGGAGAGAGAGAGAGGCAGAGACACAGGCAGAGGGAGAAACAGGCTCCATTCCAGGAACCCGATGTGGGTGTCGATCTCGGGACTCCAGGATCACACCCTGGGCCAAAGGCAGGCACTAAACCACTGAGCCACCCAGGGATCCCCCAATAAAAGATTTTAAAGGCAAGTACAGAAGGTTATGAAGTTGTGAGTAAAATTTAGATCTTTTAATATATATTTTTAAAGATTTTATTTATTCATTCATGAGAGATGCAGAGACACAGGCAGAGGGAGAAGTCTCCCTTCAGGGAGCCTGATGGAGGACTCGATTCCAGGACCCCAGGATCACAACATGAGCCAAAGGCAGCTGCTCAGCCACTGAGCCACCCAGGTGCCCCTTGACTCACATTTTTCTTCACCATTAGGAGCCTTAATTTCCAGCAAAAATTAAGAAAAAAGCAATCGTGAACTGTTACACCAGTGTTCTTTAGATTATACATTTTATAATTTCTAGAAACCCACATTTCCCTGTGACACAGGTTTTCAATGTGGCACAAGACATCTTTACTAACAAACCCAAATACTTTCAGTTCCTCTGTAATAATAGGTCAAAAGCAGGTAAACTTAGGCTTGTTTGGGAATTAATAATTAATATGTCAGTATTTTATCTTGTTCGGAAATGATCTAGACATTAAATGAATTTCCATCATTTAATTGAACTTGGCAAAATTCTAAGGGTGAAAGCTACCAAAGATTTGGGAGACATTTTAAATAAACATACCATAATATGTGATTGTTGTTGGTAAGTTTACCTAAAAATCATATCCCACTCACAACGTATCCCACTCGTATCCCTCTCCCAACAACTATGTTTAGATTACCTGCAGAAACTTCATTAGACACCAGACAAAGTCAGACATAATCCCAAGCTACTTTTCTTGCTGACAAATTCTGCAACACAGATAATGTGAATTTATCTGATCGTTAGTAAACCTTTAGTAAACCGAGTTGGAATACAATTATTGTATTTAATGCTGATCACTCTAAATGTGTATGTGTGTGTGTGTGTGTATTTTAAGTAGGCTTCATGCGTAGAGTGGAGTCCAATGATCACTCTAAAGACATATCTGTTTTACTTAAATAAAAAAAACTTGAAAAAAACCCTTGAACTAGCTTTTATTTACCAAATATTATTCTAGATCACAAGAGCTTGAAAAACATTTGGCTTAATTACTCTTATATTTCTGAGAGTTTTCAGAATTCTTAATTTATATGCGCCCTTGTTTTTTAGCCAACTGAACAGAGGTCTTTACAAATTAATTTCAGTAAAACCATGCAGAAGTAGAAATATCTCACATATACCTATATGTTGCAAATGGAAGATACTGACACACGCAAACATATGGATAGACACAGAGACCTTACAGCTTTTGTTTTAAACTTTTAGCTGTGAGATGGGTATGACACTGCAAGTCATGAATTTATAAAAGGGCAGTTGGATCCAAAGTTTGTTTGGCAGTTGGAGTGTGAGAAGTTCACCTGCTCAGATGGCTAAAGGTGTGTGTGTGTGTGTTTTAATTTTTTTATGGGGAGTAGGGGCAGAAGGAGAGGGAGAGAGAATCTTAAGCAGGCTCATGCCCAGCACGGAGCATGACATGGGGCTCAACATGGGGCTCGATCTCACGACCCTGAGATCATGACCTGAGCTGAAATCAAGAGTCGGATGCTTAATTGACTGAGCCACCCAGGCGCCCCAGATAGCTACAGATTTTTACTAATATTTGTGGGGAGGACATTTAAAATTTGTATTTGTCCTTGAGAAGTAATCTCTAATTACCTCCCAGGCTCAGGATCTGTGGGGTCTCCTTCAAGGATATAGCCAAGATGGATCTTTAAGAAAGTTAAGGATTTGGGGTTTTTTAGGGATACCAGCCAGTTGACACCTTTTTGGCAGCTCTAATAATTCAGAGCCTATTCCAAAGAAATAAGAAAACCCACAATAGCCAACTAGTTCTACTCTCATCTTGTGCATACAATCTTTAGGAAAGGTTTGAATTTTAGTTCAGGTATAGTTTTCAATCTCAGTTTCTGCTTCTTGCTTTTATTCTGTTGTTACTGGGAAATTCTGAATGACGTCACAGTGAACCCTCTTGGTACATGGCCACTTTCTCTTCCAGGGTGTCCCAAGAGACCTCTGCAGGATTAAGAGCTACCTCCACTAGCATAATATATACCGGGTCTTTGGGAAAAGCCCCCCGGGTCCCCAGAGCCCAATCGCAGAGTCTTGGCTTATTGGTATGCATGGCACCGAAAAACACCTAGATTAACATCTAGCACCCGCGAGGGTCTGCATCTGTCAAGGAGTTGGTGTACCTCCTCAGGGTTCTTAGGAGGCATTGCAACCAGAGGTTGAGGACATTTATAGATATTATTATTATTATTATTATTATTATTTTAGTAACATCATAGCAGGGATTGGACCCAAAATATCAGGTCAGGAAATGAAGAGTGACAAGTTGAGTGAACTGATGACACAGAAAGCATAGATGTCAACTGTATTTTCCCTCTGGTGGCACCACTGATTTTAACCCTCTTCTGGGTTAGAGCACTTGGTGGTCACCCATCCTCCTCCCTGAGGGAATCTTTTCCTAGTGTCCAGCCCAGAGCCACTCCTTAGGTAGAGACAACAGCCTGGCTATCTCACCCACCCTCCTTAGCTCTCCTTGGCCTTGAGTATACAGGACCCTTATGCAGATTAACAGTCAATTAAAGCCTTTGTAATTAGTGGTCTAATTGTCTCATTAGACCATATGGCCTTGGACATGGTGCTCTGGGGAGATTGTTGGAAAATCATGGCAGCTGTGAACTTCCGGGTGGGACTATCTCAGGGAACACCACAGAGGCAGTGTGAGAAAGCACGTGGCAGTGGGATAGACCCCCAGCAAGTCCGTGTTCCTTATCCAGATGGTGTCATCCACCTGACTTAGGTGGTTAGTAAGCAAATCCCAGGTAACAAGGGCATTCCTCTCGGTTCATTGCAAGGGCAATCGTGCAATCCTGCCAACTACACTGATTGTTTTGTGCTGGTCTCAGCCTGTCACCAAGAAATGCTGCAGTGGGACCGGGCCTTGTGGTTCTTAAGATTCCAAGATACCCTCCAGCAATAACCATCAGAAAACATTGAAAAAAATAAAGGTTTATTCCTTACAGGATCTGGAAACTACACAGCACACCTGGGGCCACACAGTGATGCGAGGGTGGGGGGGGTGTGGGGGAAGGGAGAGAGACTGAGAGAGCACACACAGGCCTGGGGCTCTGCTTTTATTGGGGTTGAGGATTTTGTGGGCTCACACTTTATTGGTGGATTCAGAACATCAGAGTGGAAATTTAAAGTGTAGGAAGAGGAAAACAGTAACAACAACAAAACAAATGACCCAACCGATCGGTTACTGAAATCAACCAAGATCTTTAAAACACAGGCCCCCTCCCCACTTGGCTCTCTGTCCTGTCCTGTGGCCGGCAATCTCTGAAGTGGATGCTTTAGCTATCAGAGCTAAATCAGGCACCTAATTTGCAGAAAAGAACACCAACGTCAGGGTTTACATTACAATGTCTTACTCCCACCTTTAATAAAATTCACACTCACTTCAGGGCATCAGACCCTACTAACCTCATTAGAAACCTCGGTGAATTAGAAGACCAAGCCCTCCGGCCTTTCCCTATGAGGGGCTAAAAACATCAGGGATTACCTCCAGGCTATGGAACAGAATGTGCAACAGAAGGGATGGGGGCATGAGGGCCATCCTGCGGCCACAGGGGATTGGTGAGGGGAGGAGCAGTTTCTTTCAGTCCTAACTTCAGGGATAAAGCAGAATGGTCAGTTGATGGCCTTTGTCATAGTCAGCTTACAATGCCTGCACAGGGATCAGATTGGAGATGGCACAGCACCACTGAGGTGGGAAGTTCAGAGCCAGGGCCCTGGCTCCACCAGCCCCCTGGGGATGAAGCTCTGAGAAGGTGGAGCTGGGAGGGCTACCTGGCTCCACCCCCCGAGGGCTTACCTGAGTCAGGTGCTCCTTAGGATATGAGGAATGACACTGCTCAGTATCAGGGATTGGGGTGGGTGCTAATGACCCTGCCCAACCTGTAAAAGCTGTATGGCTCCCCCGTGTTCAAAAGCTAGGAACACAGGGTGCAGATGGTGGGGAGAGGGTGCTTTCCTATGATGTGCTCCATTCCCAGGCCAATTCCCATAGGTCCCTGGGGTTCCTGGGCCAGGGTTGGGCACGCGTGATCCTTTGTGCCCTTCCATGGGGCCTGCTGGTCTCGACACGGAGAAGAGACAACATGGGTCTGTCTTGTTTCCTCCCTTAGCCCAGCCCACACTCTCCTCTAGAAGGCTGATTTGTGGGGTCAAAGCTTCACTGCATCCTGGGACCCAGAGATATGAGGTTTCCCAAATCCCTTCAGTTGGCCTGTGGTGGGGTCACACCCCCATCTCCCCTGAGTATAAGGGAAGACTTACTGGTGTCCCGTAAAGATTGTGGCCCATCCCCAACTCCAAAGGTCACGTGGAGGTAGAAGCCCTTGGAAGGGGAACAGGAAGGGGTGCCGCGCTCTTACTCCCTGAAAGCTAGTGTTCTTCTAGAGAACCTAACTGGCTGTTCCCCTGGGGTCCCTCCTCCCTAAGGGAGGACAAAACCCAGAAACAGGAAAGGGGGTTGAGTTGGGTTTGGCAACTTTCTGACATTACTTGAAAACACTGGTTCCGTTTCAACCACCTGATTGTGATCACGTTTGTAAACAGTACAAACAGTACTCCCTCCAGAGGACATTCTCAGGGACCAGAGAGATACCTTCATGGCTCTTCTGGCCTTACCCTGGGCATTCTCCCTTATTGGGCCATCCCCAGGTCTCTGGAGGAGCTCACACCCCCATGCTGCTCTTCTCATCCTCTTTGGGGCTGGGCTCCTCCTGAATCTTCTTCATCTCCCAGCCCCTGACCCAGGTGTAGGCAGAGGAGCCCCCCAGCACCATCATGTTGCTTGTCCACCAGAGGAAGCTCTTGGTCTCCTCGTAGTAGAGCACAGCCAGCACCGTTTGGGCACAGGCTTTGGCCGTGCCAGACACATTATGGGTAAGGGGGCTGGTGAACTTGATCTGTAGACCTGTCACGTAGCCGATGGCAAAGCCAAACAGGCCACCCAGCGTCATCATGCCCCAGAAGTGGGCACTGCCCAGCTGGGAAAAGTTGAGGAGGGTCTGAAGCTCCCCCAGCAGCAGGAGCAGGGGCAGGAAGAGGACACAGGCGTTGACATTGTTGTAGAAGGTCAGGCGCCAGATGCTGCCATCCACTGCCGGGAGCACCTTCTTGGTGTAGATGGCGTTGAGAGAGACGCAGAGGCTGGCTAGCACGCCAAAGAGGGTGCCTGTCCAAGACAGGGTACCCTCAGCCCCCTCCTGGTCCACACCAAGCCAGAAGCCACCTGCAGTGGGGAGAGGAGTAGGGCAAGGGGCGTGAAGATGGGGAAGAGAAAGAGAATTTTGCTACCAGAGTTCACAGACTAATGCTGCCCTCACCGTCCCATCCTCCAGCCCTCTCTGCAATAAACGCTCTGTGACGTGCAGAGCACCACACAAGGGCTGGGAAGTGGCCCCTGACATGAACGCTTTCTCAGGAGCTTACATTCTAGCAGAGGAAGACATTAAAACGATTCATTTCCCAATTATTTCTTTAATTACAATTGTAATGAGGGTCATAAAACAGTGCAGTGTGCTCAGAGAACCCATAACCCGCGACTGTGCTGGCCTGAGGCATCTGGAAAGTTGTATCAGAAATGAGCTCCAAAGGGCTGAGTGCTTCATGGTTAAGGTGACCCTGGGTAAGTGATTTAAGGTCTCAGAGCCGTGGCTTCCTTGTCTGTAAAATGGGAGCCTACAATGGGTTAGAATCACCTGTGGCCTGACTCTCTTTGGGACACTCTCGTCTTGTGTCACCTCCTGCTCACACAGCTTCCATGGCTCCCCATTGCCCACCATCAAGTCTAGGCTCTTCAGCCTGGCACACTGGGCTTCCCACACCCTTCCTTGCCTGTCTCTGTCCTACGATTGTCTCAAGTTGTCTCTCTCATCTCCCTGCTCCTCACGTGGGGACTCAGTGTCCTCATTCATTTCCTGCCTCAGAAACACCCTCCTCCTCCTTCCTGGGAAATTTTATGCATTCTTCAAGGTCAAAGCTGGTCTCTCCAGGGAGTAAGTCTTTCTTGATACCTCCAGCCCCCAGATCTCCTCCTGGTCTCTTCCTGCCTGGGCTTCCCGGCAAGACTCCTGGCCTGCCCATCTTTTTAGCGAGGCACCACCTTCCCAGGAGCCAGGGGCTGAATCTTACAAGGGCTGTATCCCCTGCCACAGCATCTGGAACGTGGGGGAGGACAAAAAGTTTTGGCATCAGAGAGATTTGGGTTCCGATCTGGTACTGCCATTTAGAGCCTGAGGAAGTTGGCTTAACTTTTCGGAGCTCCCATTTCCTTCATCTTAGATGATACGATAACTTTCTTGACCCCCCCCCCCCCCCGCAAACTACTTCCCACCTTGTAACCAGGTCTTCCTAAGGTACAGATAGATCTGCTCAGGTCCTGTCCTGGCTTAAAGCCCCTCCTCACCTACTACCCCAGGAAACATACCAACTCCCTTAACTTAGGCAGCCTCCTGTCTGGCGATTCCTGCTCTGGCCCAAACAGGAAGAAATGCACAGGTACTTAATTCTGCCTAGAACATTCTCTCCTCACCCCTTCCTTATACCTCTCTAGTACTTTCAGAACGCCTGCTTAGATTACCCCATTCCCAACCCCCTCTTCCTCTCCACCCCCACTTGGGTTTCCTCTTCTCCACCCCTCACTTGGGTTCACTCTTCCCCATCCACCACCAGGTTCCTTTCTACACTCCAGTCACAGCCTCACCCCTGCAGCATAACTCACTGCCATACATCACCACCATGCCCTCGGGAGCATAGGCACCCCATCCGCCTTTGCCAAATTCGCATCCCCAAAGTTTAGCATGGTCTCCGGCTTGTGCCTGGCCATTTTTGTTGAATGAATGAATGAATGATGTGAATGGAGGTTGTTCAGGAGGTGGTTTTAAAGGTTGAAGGAGAAAAGGCACCAACTACGGTGTAGGCACTCATGCATGGTATTTTCTTTCTTGGCAGAACCTTTGCCAACAGGTATCTATAGGCCTACTCTGGGGATGGGGAGGATTAGCCAGGGCACCCTCTGTCCCCTGGCTCCTTGCTTTCCAAGTCCAGAGGAGACATCCACCATGAGGTTCTGCATCCTAGAGGGGCTTGCACCCAGAAGGAGCTCTGAAAGGTACAATGAAAGGAGCAGTGACCCAGGAATCGTCACCAGACACCCATCTTGAGGGGAAGCACAGCAGAGAGGGGGGCTGGGTCTGGGGCAGGCAGAGAGCACCAGCCTCCCTGGCCCCTGGGCCCCATCAGTAGGGCCAGCGAATGCCCTTTCTCAGAGCTATCACACCATCAGCTACTTTGATTACTTTTAGGACTTGGGCCTAGTTTCCCTAGTAACTTCACTTTTCCGCATGCAAATTCTCCCTGCCCCCCAACCAGGCTCCCCTCTCCCTCTGCCCCGTACTCCCAGGGTCTTCATGGCCGAAGTGGAGATCCAGTGGGCATTTGCTAAGTGAGCCCTGGGACTCTGAGGGACAAGCGAAAATCTGCCAGAGGTCTCAGCTGCTCCTTCTACCCTAACCTCAGCCTTGTCCCCTCTCCCTTCCTGGACCTGGACTGAGTAGTCTGAGATCCAGCAGCTGGTCAATGAGGGTAACATTTTCTAGGACGGATGGCAGGGGAAGGGCCCCTCTCCTGCCACCTGTGTGCCTCAGCCTGGGGACTCTGAGACACCAGTGAAGAATATGTAGGTCAATCAACATGAGCTTGACAGCACCAGGAAAAACAGGTTCGAAGAAAGACCACGTTCCTGGATATCAGAGTCCTGGGAGGATTCAGAAGGAAGTGGGTGCACTCTTACCCAGAGTGCTGCAAAAAACCATTCTGTGAGGATGGAAATGTTCTGTAATCTGCGCTTCCAAGACAGTAGCCACTGGCCACATGTGGCTACTGAGCACTGGAAATGTGGCCACAGATTCACACTGTAACACCTGCAGCTGAATGTTAAACATGTCACTGAAGTTGAATTAAATTGAAATAGACACATGTGGTCATGTACTGCCTTGGAGGGCATAGCTGCAATCTCTAGGGCACAGGAGCAGAGTCGGGGGGTTAAAAACATAGGCCTGGGAGTCTGGCCAATCTGGGTTTGTGCCCCAGCCTGGCTACTTTCTAGCTGTGTGGCCCTGGCCAAGTACCTTAACCTCTCTGATCTTCAGTTTCCTTGTTTGTATGGAGTTGATTAGGGAGATACTACCACTCAGGTGATCTCCAGGGGAACAAAGAAGATGCCATATGTGAATGATTGGCACAATGTCCCCATCAGTAATTCTTCTCTTCTAGGGGTCAACTGTGGAAAGACAGCTAAGACCTCACCAAGCTTATTTCTCTTCACTCTCTTAGCCATGACTATGAGCCTGCAGGCCCAGACGGTGATGTATACTTATTATAAGATGTACTTTCCTCTGGAAATAGCACTGGATAGGGAGTCAGGGCCCTTGAACCCCTGAGAAGCAATACAGTGGACAAGCATATGGAGCCAGCCTGCTTGAGATCAGACTCCAGCTCTGCCACTTATCAGCTGTGTGATCTTCAACAAATTACTCAACTTCTCTCTATCTTGTTTTTCCCCTTTGTGAAATTTAGATTATAATGCCATCTTGTTTTGAGGGGCCCTGGCTAGGCCTCTAACTTATGGTCTCTGGGCCCAGACTCTTCCTCATCTGAATCTGTGAAAGGGAGCAGGGACAAACAAAGCCCAAAGATGCTTGGCAGGGTCGCTCCTTGTGGTTTTGGCCCCCGTTCCCTCCCCTGCCCCCACTCCCCATGGTCCTGGCTGGCCACTCACCAATGATGATGCCGCAGGTGAGCAAGGCATAGAAGGAGGTGGTCTGCTTGAGCAGCAGGTAGGATAGCAGTACATTGAAGACCGTGGTGAGTGAGCGGCCCACGTTGTAGAAGGCCACCCCGACATACTTGAGGCAGAGGTTATTGAAGGTGATCATGCCGATGAAGACCACTGACAGGGGCAGGACGCTGCGGGCCACCCTGAGGTCCAGGCGCAGGGTGGGAAAGTCCATGGCACCAGGGCAGAAGGCAGCCAGTGTGCTAAGGCTCTTGCACAGCAGCGTGGTCACCAGGCACTGGTAGAAGGTGACGAAGATGGGGGTGTCCAGCTGTAGGGAGGGGCTATCCAGCAGGTACTTGTTAAGGAACACCATGGAGATGGAGGTGACCCAGTAGAGGGACACCACCAGTGTGATCTGCAATGCCCGCAGCAAAAAGGGTTTCTCCTTGATGGCTTCTGCCTCTCCCAAGGGGTCGGAAGCCCCCATCAGTGCCATGTGCAGGATCCTGGACCGCTTCAGGGGGGCCCTGTTCATGGTAGCAGAGGAACCGGGTCACCCTACCAGAACTGGAGTACAGAAGCTTGTCAGCTTCTGCAAGCCGCAGCCCTCAACTGTCCGGGGGTGGGGTGGGGTGGATGGCCTAGAGGCCTCCCCATCCACAGGCTCTGCTTTGGCGGGAGCCCCACCACCTGCCCCCACCCGGAGGGGCTCATGAGACAAGACACGGGGCCGGGGGGGGGGGGGGGGAGGAAGAGGCTCACATTAGACAGAAGACCTGTCAGGGGAGAGGGGGCCGGAGCCCGGTAGGGACGGGTCTCAGGAAGGAGGGGGAGGGGGTGGAGGAAGGCAGGGCGAGGTGCCGGAGCGGGCGCAGCGCGGCGTGGGGAAGACAGGGAGGCATGGGCGTTTGCAGGGAGAAGGGGGAGGCGTGCAGGAAGCTGATTGGAGGGGGCCGTGCGAGGGGTTCGGGAGAGGGGTGCAGGGAAGGTCAGAGGTGCCCAGGGCGGGGTCCGAAGGACGCGGGAGGAGGCCGGGCCGGCCGCAGCCCGCAGCGCGCCGCCCCCGGGGCCCCAGCTGGCGCGCAGCCCCGGAGCCCCCGGACGTCCGAGGCCGCCCTCCCGGCAGAGGCGGGCCCAGGGCTCATTTCCTGACACGCCCCCGACCCCTCCTTAAAGGGCCCGCACGCCCGGCGTCGTCCTTAAAGCCACAGCCGGCGAGACGCCACCTTCCGAGGCCGGCTCGCGTCTGGGCCCCCGCCGCCCTCGGATCCAGTGCGTTGCCCGCTCGGGGATGGTGGGGGGTGGGGGTGGGGATCGGCCGCCGCGGAAGGTTTCTATAGGTGCTTGAGCCCCGGCCCCTTGGCTGCAAGCCCCGCCCCCCGCCCAGCTGCATCCCCTCCAGAAGCTCACTGCCCCTGACTCCGCTCACGTGAAGGTCCCCGGCGGCCCCCAACGCGGGCCCGGCCGCCTCCCCAGGGCCTCCGCAGCGCCTCGCGTCCCTGGGCGTCGAGGCCCCATACCAGCCCCCCCAACCCCCGCCCCGTTCCTCTACTATCCCAGCTCACTCCCGTCGCATTCCCTTCCTTTCTCCCAATTTTCTTCCCCCATCCCTCTTACAGGCCTGAGACCCCCCCCCCCCCCGCCCCGTGGCGCTCAGTGAGGCCGGAGGCAACAATATCCCTGCAGGACTTCAATCAGTCTGCGCTCCACCCCCCCCCCCCATTTGAGAAGACCTCCCATGCAAGCATCAAGGCAACATCCCCCCCTCCATCCCCCAGGCTCCCTTCCCCTTATAAAAACCCCTTCCCCAAGCCGGGCCCAGCCGCCAGCTCTGGCCCCGGGGCCTGCGTTCCCCGGTCTCAATGGCGACCCCACGCTCACCTCCTCCTCGGTACTGGCCGCCCGCCCGGCTCCCGAGCGCTGCACCTGCAGCGCCGCACCTGCAGCACCGCGCCCAGGGCCGCGCCCGCTGGAGACGACTTCCTGCTCCCAGCCCCGGGCGTGGGCGCCAAGCCAGCCTCGGCCGCCTGCGCCCCACGTGGGCCCCGGGGCGGCGGCCTGACGACCCCGGCCCTAGCCGACCTTGGTCCCGGGTTTCCCGCCCGTCGTGGGAGCGAGCCTCCTCTTGTCTCCATAGGCCACCCCAACCCCAGTACCCCGGCCACCCGGGATACCCCACTCCAATCACCGCAGCTTGCACATCCTGGGACCCGGCTTCATCCCTGGCCAGCTGCTCACCTGGGGCCTGCGCTTCCAGAAGTGTGTGCTGGAACCGCTTCCTGCCAGGAGTGAGTGGGGGGTCCTCTGCCCTCCCCCAGGACCCGGGCCTGGGAAGTCGCTTATCAGCTATGGGTCCGTCACTCACCAGGCAGCCTGAGGGCCGACTTCTCCCTGGTTTTTGCTTTGGCACCAACATCGCCGGGTGCCTTACTTCTGAGTTCTCTTTGTTGTAAAGAGAAGGCGGCTGGCAGGACTAAACCAAGGTGTCTCAATCTCCTTGCTCATTACTCTGGCTGGTATGGTTGAAAGTAGGGACTACCGTCTGTTTGTAGTATTTCAAACACCATTTAATTAGTACGATATAATTTACAGGTGAGATGTCTTAGATTTGCTTTAAAGTACTCAGAATACTCACCAAAGGGGAAAAAAAAGAGGTGGATAGGCAAGTAAAACAAGATAGGCAAAATGTTGATAATTGTTGAAGCTGGGCAGAGGTACAGGGGGATTTTAAGGGTCATTTTACTTTTGTGTACATTTGAAAATTTCCATAATAAAAGGGTACCTTCATTTTAATAAAATGTACCTATGGGGTACATTTAAAGTCTCATATGCTGGGCAGCCCGGGTGGCTCAACGGTTTAGTGCTGCCTTCAGCCCAGGGTGTGATCCTGGAGACCCGGGATCGAGTCCCATGTCGGGCTCCCTGCGTGGAGCCTGCTTCTCCCTCTGCCTGTGTCTCTGACTCTCTCTCTGTGTCTCTCATGAATAAGTAAAATATTAAAAAAAAAGTCTCATATGCTGACTGCATTAATCCTGCACCCAACTTAACACAGGCCTTGGTGGGCTATGTGGAGGCTGTAGGGTTACAGGGAAATAAGCACTGTCCAGCAGCCCCATGGCAGGTGCAAACGCCCCAGAGTGAGCCTGCCTCTGGCCTATTCTCTTCCATCAGACCTCTGGCCCTTGCTCTGTGGGGACTTGCACTACTCTCCCTTCTGGGCCTTTCTGCTTCCTACTTATGGGCTGGTGTCCTGGTGGAGAATGCCACCTGGTCATCTTGTCACCTTTGGGATCAAATTACCCTTTTGGGGACTAAAGGACTGAAAGGGCCTGAGCTGGTCATCAGAATCCTACTTGGAGGGTCTCATTCCAGAGCCAGATTTTGAAGGCTGTGGGTTCCGTTTGTTCAGAAGCATTGCCTCTTTGCTCTTCCCTCTTAGGCCTGATGTTTCACTATGACAAATAATTTAATAGCAAACAGGGCCAACACATCTATGAGAGGACCTGGTTTCCTGGAAGGGCCCTTCTCCTTGGCACATTAACAGAATTAATTTATCTGATGAATGTGCTGCCACATTGAACCCCCAGGGAAGAGATACATACTGTATATAGGCCAGATGATCTTCACTGGGAGAGACCGGGGGCAGTCCATGCTAGGTATGTGGGGGGGGCACAGTCTGGGATTTTTGCAAGCCATCTGACCAATGTGTATCCCTGCCTCCAATCTCTGTCCTTACATTTTACCTGAAATTTCCCCATCAGCGTCACTCCCCTGCATGAAGGTTATAATAGGCCCATATAGCCAGTTTCTCAAGGTTCTAATTCTTTTTGTTCCTCCTGAGGGAAAGGGGGGAGGGGTGTGTTTCTTAGGGGTCTGAGGCCTCAGGAGTTGTGCACTTTGCACAATACATTTGTTTTTGAATTTTTCTTAAGGATTCTTAATTGTCTAAACCATTCATCAAGGGTGAGGTTTTAGGTCTTGTCCTGAGTAATTACCTAGTGTGTGAACTTGGTGGGAGGCAGAGCATAAGGTCATCAACGTGGCAGGCGAAATGCTGTAATAATCCAGGAAGGAGGGCCCTTTACGGGTGTAGTTCTATTCTTGCCTTGGCTGGGAGCCAGTGATGACGTCAGAAGGCGATCTTTGCAGGCAAGACGGAGTGGCTGGAACTAACCTCCAGGTGTAGGGGACAGTGGATCTGCAACAGTAGGACATGAGAGTTTCTGGGAACACACAGATGTCAACTATCTCATCCCTGAGTTCAACATGGACTCATTGAGCCTGCTTTGTGTGGTGGATGCTACTAGTTGTCTACCAAAATTAGAAGGCATGACATAATTTTTTAAAAAGAGTTTATTTATTCATGACAGAGAGAGACAGAGAGACAGAGACACAGGCAGAGGGAGAAGCAGGTTCCATGCAAGGAGCCCGATGTGGGACTCAATCCCCGGACTCTGGGATCACGCCCTGAGCCAAAGGCAGATGCTCAACCTCTGAGCCACCCAGGTGTCCCTGAAGGCATGATATAATTATAATGATCTCTGATTCTCTCTCTTGCTCTCAGTTTATCTATCTATCTATCTATCTATCTATCTATCTATCTATCTATCTATCTATTCATCCATTCATCTATACCGTCCTTGTCCAGGACCTAGCATGACCTTGCCATAGTAGATGCTCAGTACCTATTTGTGGAATGAATGGAAGTCAGACCACCAGAAGAAGTGCTTGAAAATCAAGGCCAATTTAAGACCTTTATCATCCCTAAGCCTTGAAAGTTTATGAGGTTCTTCATTTATTCCATATGTAATTCAAAATTAAAAATTAATACTAAACTGTAAAATAAATGTAAGCAGAACAAAAAGTGTTCTGATTTTTCCTTAAATTTTTTAAAATTTAAATTCAATTTAGTTAACATCTAGTGTATTAATAGGTTCAGGGCTAGAATTTGGTGGTTCATCAGTTGCATGTAACACCCAGTGCTCATTGCATCAGTGCCCTCCTTAACACCCGTCACCCATTACTCCATCCCCCAACCCCCTCCCCTCGGGCAATCCTCAGTGTGTTCCCTGTAGTTAAGAGTCTCTTATGGTTTGCTTCGCTTTCTGATTTTATCTTATTTTATTTTTAAATTCCACATTTGAGTGAAATTATACGGTATTTGTCTTTCTCTGACTTACTTCGCTTAGCATAATACCCTCTAGTTCCACCCATGTCATTGCAAGTGGCAAAATTTCATTCTTTTTGATGACTGAGAATAAGTATTCCATTTTATATATAGACCACATCTTCATTATCCATTCATCTGTCGGTGGACATCTGGTTCTTTCCATATCTGATTTTTTTTATGAAGATTGGGGTGTTCTTCTGAAAATAATATATTCTTTCCAGAAAAAAAAATTATGTCTTTCCTTTGCTGGTACATGTGGTAGACATTGCTAATTGTCTACCTTAGGAATTGACAAACTTTTTCTGTAAATTACCAGAAAGTAAATATTTTAGATTCTGTGAGCCATTAGGTCTCCGTAGCAACTACTCAACACTGCTGTTGTAATGTTACAAACAAATGGGTACAGCTGTGTTTCAATAAAATTTTATAAGATAGGCCATGGGCCAGATGTGGTTCACTGCTTAGAGTTTGCTGACCCCTATTTAACTCTATATTACTTTATCCTTTTTCCTTACTAACATTACCCATATTTTATTTGTATGTCAGTGTTTCCACCTAAGAATACCTATTCCCCAGACTCCTTTGTAGCTGGATGTGACCATGCGACATACTTTTAGCCAGTGAGTCATAAGCTGAGGATTTCTGGAGAAGCTTTGCTTTTTTTGATATAAGTATATTCTTTGTTGCTTCTTTTTTCTTATATGTTCTGTCTTAAATGCACACCCGAGGTCTGGAAGGATGGTAGTTATCTTGTAACCATGAGACAAAAGATCTGAGGAAGAAAGCTAAGGATGGCAGAGCAGAAGCATGGAGATGAGCTGTCATCCCATCCCTTGGCTGCTTGTTCCTTATTGTAGGAGATGAATAAACCCCTATCAGAGTGAGCCATTGCAGCACGATATTCTGTT